TCAATCTCCTTACTCCCTAAACTCAAAAATCGTTTCGACCCCTCTTTGTAAACCGTTCCGGTTGTCGAATCGAGCTTCTGAAAATCCCAACATTCTGACATCTGCAAATTGAATAATCGCCTCATCAAATGAACTTTGTTTGAGGCCGATAGCTTCTCATACATACTGGAGAGAGCTTCCATAAGACCCGCCGTGGTCTTTTCCTTTGCTATGTTGAAAGCAACATTGCGTGATAACGTCAGTCGGATAACTCCGAGGGCTTGTCTGTCGAGAAGAGCCCCGATCTTCATTCTTCATGCCCTCTGGTTGCTTTCCTGAGAGAGGTCGATATAGATTTTTCTGGTACAGAAAATCTTCAATCTGCATCTTCCAAAAGCCAAAGTCCACATCATCGAACTTTTCAATTTTCACCTTCCCTTCGTCTGCAGCTATCGCTCCCGCTCGAATCTGGCTTTGTTTGGATCGTTTATGACAATTCTTACGAACCACCGTGAATTAGAACACCTCCGTCGACAAATTCGTATCGCCGACAAAATTTTTACTATTCACGTGAATAGTAATAAATAGTAACATCGCAAAAATTGACAAAATTCACAACCAAAAGCTCTGATACCAGTTGTTGGGAAATAAACGAGTATGCGTAATTTTCCTATTACCAGATTAATAAGAATGCGAAATAAAAACGGAAAAATAATACCCGAAATTGATAACGGAGTTCAGCCAATTATGCCTACGTCTCCGGACTGATGCAGATCTTTTACTAAGAGAGAAAATTTACAGGTGTTTACAAAGCACTCACTACTCACAAGGAATCTCTCTAGTATTGGGAGAAAGAAATGATTTGGGATGATTTTGAAGCTAAATGGGTTAGGATATTTATAGTTGAAGCTTAGAGACTAATCTTTGAAAATACCCTAAAGTGCAATGACTAAAGTGCATTTACTCATTTCAAAAATTCAGTAATTGCTGCCACTTGCACCGAAAGCTTCTCTGCCAGCAATCCACCAAAAATTTGCTTTGACAATTCGATAATTTTATTCCTTTTACAACCCATCAAAATTGACTTTACAACATATAGCTACGTATGTGTGTCAATGCTCCATATACAGGTCATCTATGTTAACTTGTCAAGGTTCTCATAGAGAGAACCGAATAGGTTCTTCATTGTTAAGTACTTGTGTCTGACATGGGTATGGAGATATACCCCTTTAAGGATCCTCCAAATACATGGGAAAACTTAGAACATACCTGACACCGACATCCGACTCTGAGTATCATAAGTCTGGATGTATTCGCATTCCAAGCACTGGTTTATGATGTTTGAGGAAGTTTCGCAGAATTAATTACATTTATAATATTCTTCAATGTATATGTTGTTTTGATGAATACTCTCAACTGTTTTTATCCTAGTGGAAGCGAAGATGGAGACATTTGTGTGGTTGAAGTAAAGAAAATGGAGATCAGCCATTGGAGCAAGAGGCTTCATCTGGGCACACCCATTACATCGCTAGGGTTCTGTCCTAGCTGAAGTATGTTTAAGTGAAACAAGTTCTAATTTGGCAGATAGTTCCCCGGAATTATAAGCCGGGTTTGATTTCCCGTTGTCGTTGCTTTGTTGCAGTTGCAGGGTTGTTCTTACAACTTCTAATCAGTGGGGAGCAATGGTGACAAAACTAAATGTTCCTGCAGACTGGAAAGGTATTCCTCTCTTCCTTTCCCCTCTCAAGCTATGTTACCCTACTCGGGTGCAAATATCATACGACGGTACTTAAAAGAAGCACGAAAAGTCGAAGTAACTTAATCCCACAATGAATGTGAACAATATAAATGAATACGAGGATGATAATCTTATTTTTTTTTCTTCCTCTTCCGTGTGCAGTGGCAGATCTATTTGATGCTTTTAGGACTATTTTTAGCATCAGCGGTTGTGTTTTACATATTCTTCGAGAAATCCGATTCGTTTTGGAACTTCCCGATCGCCAGAGAACAACAAACGTGAGGAAATATGGAATCGTTTTTAGGGGATGCAGAGTCGGATGATCCAAATGTGTCCGGCCCTCTTCATATGTAAGCATTTTTATTTGATCCAAAAGATTTTCAAAGACAGTACGAAATAAGGTGTTCATGTATGATATTAAACTGCTCGCGTAGTGTGCCAAATAATTATATTTGTTTCTTTCAATCGTATGTTCCATTAAAATTAATTTGTTTATTATATAGATAGCAGTGAGTAATATCGTATTCACAATGATTAAGAATAATTCTATTTTGTAAGCAAATAGAGAAAATAATTGTGGTGTTTGCGAATGGAGAAAATTGGGTTGAGAGGGTCGTTATCGTTTCTGTAGTATCTGATTTGGATTAGTCGATCAATAAATCGGATACCAGTAATTAATTAAAAATAATAATTATTCTATAGTATTTTTTTTTATCTTTAAGTGAGTTTTTTTAATGATATTTAATGCATTTTCATTCCATATGTGTAATTTAAGTTCTCATCAAAAGAGTGTATAATACTTCAATTTAAAATATTTTTTCAAAATTGTTCAAAAACAATCTCTTCAATATCGTTCTACCCCACATAGAAATCTTATAAACATTTACGAAACTAACAAAAATCAATTAGAAACATATAAAATGACAATAAAAATATAATGTATACAATATGAAATCATAATGTAAAACTAACGAAAATGTCATGTGATTATACAAAAAAAAAAACACACATTTAAAAAAGAATTAAATGCAAATAAAAATATTATTGTAATGAGTAGGATGGCAACGATTCGGGTTTTTGGTCAACCTAACTCGACTAAAAAAATATGTATCCTCCACCCAAACTCGATACGACCGAAAAATTATATATCCTCCGTCAAAACCGATTCGATCCGAAAAATATATATCCTCCACCCGACTCTGATCTGAACATACCATAATTTTTAGAGTATAAATCCGACCCAATTTGATTGTCTATAAAACAAGGATTTAGTTAAAAATAATATTTTTTTTCAAAAATTACATTATTATCACTGAATCAGGTCAGGTTGAAGTTTTTTCACCATCCACTTGAACCCGAACTGAATCGATCTTACCCCCTTAAAAAATTTAACTCGACCCGACATCTGAATTTCTTTAAAAAAAATGACCTTATCGAATCGGATCGGATCGGAACTCGCGAATTTCAGATTGAATTATATCCCTTGTAATGAGGACTTATCACGTATCCACCAAAAATGGTATTATCTTAGGTGGTGTTTGTTTTTACTGTGTAAGGTCTGAAAAGCTCTTATGTCTGCGCCGCGCAGACATTGGGCTTCACAGACCTTTTGCTTTTTAGAAGACAGAAGCTCTTCTAACGTCTGTGCGTAGTCTGCGCGGCGCAGATGTAGCCTTATGTCTGCAGACATCTTCTAACCTCTTCAAAGAGGTTTTATATTTAATTTTATATTATATTATATTTGATTTTAATTTTAATATTAATTTTTTAAATAAATTAAATATTAATTTTTAATATTATATTATAAATATTAATTTTAATATTAATTTTTTTAAATAAATTAAATATTAATTTTTTAATATTATATTATAGATATTTAATTTTATATCATATAAATTATTTTATCTATTATTAAAATTTTATATTTATTTTAATTATTTTGATTTAAGTTTAAATATAATATTTTTTTGGATTTATTATTTTTAAATTATATTTAAACTTTTTATACAAAATGTAAGTATTTAAACCACATTGCTTAATAAAAAATGATTTCATTGTTTGATAATTAATATTTTAAAATAAAAAAAATATAAATTATGTTTTTAAAATTTTGAAATATAATCACATTTAAATAAAAAATAATCATAAAATAATTTGATAAATTAAAAAATATTTTCTAAAAATATCATATAATTTTAAAAATAAATTATGAATATATATATATTTAAAAAAATTAAAAGTATTACATAATTGCATATTTAAAAAAAATCATATAATTTAATGATCATTTATAAATTTTATTCTATAAAACTAATAATATATAATATTATGTGAGATTTATAATAAAATTAATAAGGTGCTGTTTGTTTTTCTAAAAAAATTATTATTGTAGTTATATGAATTATTTAAATTTCAGTATTGTAAAACTAAAATTATTTAAACCTTAGTATTGCAAAACTCTTCTAAGTTTAAAAAATCAGTTTATTTATATTTCAGTTTATTTTAGTAGTCTGCAGACGTTAAAAAACAAACATTATTCTTCTTGCAGACTGCAGACTTTTGGTTCACCACTTCTGCTGCAGATGTGATCCGCAGACTGTAGACCTTTTACCTCTACAAAAACAAACACCACCTTAGTGTCTTACATAGAATATATGTGAATTTAATTTTTAAGTTTAATGGTCGTTTCATATTCTCATTAAATTTTATAATTTTATATAAATTGAGTAAATAATTTGTAATTTTTTATAGTTAAATAATTTGTAATTTTTTATAGTTAAATAATTTAATTTAAAATTTTATATAGTTTAGAAATTATATATATAATTTACTTTAAGTATGAAAGTAAAATAATTCAAATAAAAGTACTAAAAAATATCGTATTTGAAGGACTATGTGTTAAGTTATTCAATTATTTATAGTTAATATTTATATTAAAAATGAAATGACCATCTAGTTCAGTTGATAGAGCACAAGGTTCTTAATCTTGAGGTCATGTGATTGAATCTCACGTAGAACATTTCATAATTTGGAGGTCTCCTACTATTTTACCTCCTCTTACCCTTATTATATATAAAAACAAGGGACATCTATTTATTTATATTAAAAATAAAAAAAATTACTTTTTCTGGAAAAAAAATAAAAAAGGACTTAAATATTTATTCAAAAAGTATTTTTAAAAAAAATGAAAGTACCGCCCCGAAGAAACCAATAGCAAAATGGGACACAGTTGTTGTGTACTGCTGCTTATTTTAGTGCATTCACATTTCCCTTTTACCTCCCGGTAGGGTTTTAAACAACATTTTCCTAAACCCCAATAGCATTAAAAACATAAAAAGAAATTCCCAAATCCCATAATCTCTCCATCTCTTTAGGTAAGCGCTCATTCTCTGCTTCATTTTCCTTTATTTTTCTGGGTTACCTTTGAAATTCATTTCCATCCATCTATCTGCTTATCTTGTTAGTTTTTCTTGTTTTACACCAAGTTCCTTTGTGTATTCTTGCCTGCGTAATGCCTTATCTTCGTTAACTGATCTTGAATTGGTGTGTTCCTTTTGTTTTTGAAGTTCTTCTGCTCAAGTTGGTAGCTTTTGCTGAGTTGGAATATATGATTTTCTTTAGTTCAGAGTATTGTTAGGATTACTGTCGGAGATTAGTTTTTTCCCCCTTCATTTAACCTACTAAGAAATGGAGCTGCTAAAGGAAAAGAAAGTAGTTAAAAGAAGTTGTATTATGCATTGTGCAATTGTGTTCGTGGATTTTACTTTTCTTATCTTGATCTTGATTCTATATCGTGTAGGCCTTAATGCTGTGAGCTGGTAAACCTTGTTATCATCATGCATGCTATAAAAGGTGGATGGGTTGGGCAAACTTTTGCCCTAGCTAAGTGCAATGAGCCCGGAGGGAAGAAGTCTCGGGTTCGTCGTTCAAAGGAGGAAAGGAAGGCAATGGTTGAGTCTTTTATAAAGAAGTAATTTCACATGGTTTCTCTTCCATTTGTTTGCTTCTACTGTTGAATTTAATTATATCATCTTAATTTAGTCTTTACCAGTTATCTTTTTTCATTCTAATACACTTCTATATCCCCGTTCCATGGTAATCATAATAGAATTACTCTGTATATAGTCAGATATTTTAGCAATTCAAGATTCTAAATTTATCATCCTTGTAGTATCTAACAAATTAATTGCAGAATGCTTGTGATTGCTTAACCTATGAGTATTAACTTAAAATATTTGTTTGGGATATTGACTCTGATCGCTGCTAACTTTAAATGTGTGAATGGTGGGTCATCGAGCTCAGACATTGGTGTTATATAAGATTGTCCATACATATCAGTAAAATTTTTTGTTCTATATATGTATGAAAATAATGGTTTGCTGATGAAAAATTCTTTTTCTTAAGCCAAAATTTATTATATTTCCTTGAAGACACATTTAGACTTATTTTCAAACTGAAAATTCTTTGTTTGATACAAGGATTTTTGTGCAAATGCAATATATGCCATGTTAATATCTCTAAATCACTATCATCATGGTGTTTCATGAGCTTTATTGAAATGATCCTTTTCCATTATTCTTTGTGGGAAAATCATTTGTAGTTCATTTAGTATGCAACATTAGAATTTTAAACCCATGTAGAATTGAGTGGAATAGTTTAATTTCCAGGTTGGATTGAATTTGGTGTAAGTTCAATATAATTTGCACTGCATTTATTTCTTTTCATGTGGGATTTTAAACTTATAGGTTGTTACATTTCACATGAAAAGAAATAAATGCAGTTAAGGGGAACTATAAGTTTATGGAAATGTGAAGTGGGTTGCTACATTTCCGTACCATTTATTTGGTTCAGTTGATGCAGTTAAGGGGAACTAAACGATAGAAAATTTCCATCGCTTAAACTCACCCATTGATGAAATTGTTGCAGGTATCAAGAATCGAACAGTGGGAATTTTCCATCTCTTAACCTTACCCATAAGGAAGTTGGTGGGTCTTTCTACACAGTACGGGAGATTGTACGAGAGATAATTCAGGAAAATAGAGTGTTGGGTCCTGCAAAGTTGACTGAAGGGGAGCAGAGCACCGATCTGTTCTTGCAACAAAATCCACTGGGATCCATTTCAACTGCACCCGCAACTCTGTTGTCCATCCAACCAAATGGAGGTTCTTTTGTTCCCAGTCATCGTGAGGATGCTAGAGATGAATCAGTTTTTTCAGTTACTGATGAGCTTTCTATGGGATCTGAATATAAAATTGACAGCGAGCAGATTATTAATGAGGATCTTGTAGATGTAACCTGTGGAACAGATAAAGTGGCAATGGTAGAGGTGCAAGTAATTGAACCTCTGGAAAGTGATAAAAGTGAAAAGGAAATGGAAGCATCCACAACTGAAGTCACTCAAATAACTGCAGATGTAGTAGTAGAGACATTTCCATTGCGACCTGTTGCTAAACCGACTGGCACCATTGATGGAATGTGTAGTGATGTTGGGAAATTAAATGAAAACTTGGATCAAACGGAAAACGGGAAGGTGAATGTGAATCAAGAAAATGGTAGTTTTAAGTTGTATGGTATGAATTCCTCTGAGGTTTCTGTTTTGACTGATGAGAATGAAGCGGAAAACAATGAAGATGTGTTGTTGGAAAAAAACTCCGATTTAGCAGATAAGAAAGTGGTAAAATTCATATCAGATCCATTATTGGAAAGCTGGGATTGCTCTACTGGGGGAACTGCCATTGACGATACTCTCAACGGTGCTGCATTAGAGGTCTCTTGTGATGATATTTTAACTTCTGAAACAAATGAACAAAGCCAAGCAATTGTTGGAGAGGTGAGCTTTTGTCTAACACCTTTGTGCATGTCTATGTCAGACATCAATCGAAGTGATTGCTTAATATGAATGATAAGCTGATTTTGTCTATTAGCTTCTAAATATTTGTTTTCTTTTGCTATTATTCGCTAATTATAAGCTTTGCTTATAAAAATGGTCGGTAGTTTGACTGTAATTTAGGTAGAATAAATGGGGGAACCATTGCTGTGAGTATAGTGCAGAATCAATGTGCTATTTAGTTCTGTGCCTTGCTATGAAATCATTCAAAAAACTGAATGGCGTTAAAGGGATAACATACTAACATGCTCAAGGGACACTATACTCAAACCTTGTTATTTGAGGAATTTCAAGGGTGGCTTTAAACTATGTTACTCGGACTGAGGTCTGAGTGTCGTGCACAGGTATGTGTCCAACACAGGTATGGTCAGATATTTCAAAGTGTCTGTATTTAGAGAATCCTTGGAGGTCACATCCCTATATCCATGTTTCCGACACAAGTAGCTACTTAAAGAAAAAAATGAAAAGTTGGAGCATTATTAGGTAATTTGGAGTGTTTTGATTCTCTTCCTAACCCTCTTTCCTCCAGAAAGGGGTGTGTGTGGTTCACACATTTTAGATTTTTAGACTCTTCACTGAATGTGTTTGCTGAAAAATGAAACAATGATATTTGCCAATAATTTAACATGCCTAAGATACTATCACATGCGTTTGTACAAAAAAAAAAAAAATTAGATGTCACACGTGTGCAAATTGTAAATCACTTTTTTTTGGGGGTGATTTTAAGTCCACTTGAGTTCTAGTAGTTTATTTGTATTTCTTCTGTAATGACCCCTAATTGGAGAAAGCCAATGACTTCGATTTAGGTTGAACTGATGTTTTTATTTTCAGAAGAATGTCTTCCCTCTGAGTCATTGTCTTTAAACTACATGGTATGTTCGATGGGCTGTATTTTTTCTTAACAAACTGATAAATGAGAAATATTGTAGTATTGGATTGAATGAGAACCTGATGGTTTTGTTTTTCATCAGGCAATATATGTTCCAAATGGCATCCACCCGAAAGCTCATGTCACTTGCAAGCCAATGTTGGAGGGCGATGTTACTGCTGAAGGTAACGTTGAAGTGCAGAATGCCAACTCGAAGAAAGGATGCAATAAAACATTAGACAGAATTAATCTGTTAGTATTTCTAGCCTTTGCTCATTTTGCTTTTAAAGTTGAATCAGTCTTATTCAATTTAGTTTCAATGTTATCAGTTCCTTAGGATATACATTGGTTTCTATGGACAGTGAATCATGGGAAGGGACATCAAAAGGTGCTGCGGAATCCGAAACTAACCCCCTTTTGGCTATTTTCAAATCTTTAGTTGCCGCCTTCGTGAAATTCTGGTCCGAGTAACAGTTTTTGGAGAGAGATACGAACTTTATTAGTGAAATATACAGAACTATAGAGCATTTGTGGTTGTTTTCCTGGTGTGGTATGGTTATAGTTAGCGAGAGCAATGTTCCTTGTGTCGGTCGGCTCGAGTTGAATGTTAGAATGGGATGAACTTGTTTTGTGACGAACATAATTAGCTATATGTATTAGAGAGTTTTGATGTTTTTTCATATGCGAGCATGTAAGATGACAAGTATGAAATGCAGGCCCTTGAATCCTTCCCATACTTTTCTGTCTCGTTGTCGGAAATGGATGCATGATTTTATGAGGGAGCAAATTTATAATATTTTAGGAAGATGAACATATAAAATTTTAAGAAAATATATTTAAAATATATGATAGTTAAAAAATTTTAATCCTAAAATTCTGTGACTACATGATGCAATGTTGTGATCAAAACCCTAATTACCCTAACTGGATCTCATCCAACATCGAAAGCCGAGAGATAAATCGAACGGCACAAAATCTCATCCAACATATTAACGATCATTTTAAAGTTGTGTGAACTGTTCTGTCAATGTTCATGGTACGAGATGCGCTTCTGTTGATTCTTTATTTTTGGGTCCCCACCCTCTATTTTCTAATTCCTTTTAAACATTTTAATTTAATACTTATATTATGATTTTTATTTTAAATTTATTTTTTTATATATCTGGGGTAAATATAAGAGTAATATCTGTTTAAAGAAAGACACTCTATATTTGACAATGAACGCTTATACCCTTAACGTATGTGATGCTCAAACATGAAACCTCGAAAGATAATAACAAATCCCTTAATCATTGAGATCACTTGATTCGTGCTTACTTAAAATATACAAATATTGGCTTTGGTTTATATATTTATGTGTCAAAGTTCTATTTATAATATTTGTTCTATTTGTAAAGTAAAGGGTGTGTTATTTTTGTTTATAATATTTTATATTTTAATGAATTTTCTTATATCATGCAATTACTATATATTCAAATTATCAAATCTAGAATTTTAAAAAATATATATTAAAATTTGAGAAAATTCTATAATGGATGTCAATGATATCCATCACTAATTTTATAAGGTAAAACTCATGTGCATTAAATTATATCAAAATAATCTTTTTAGACATAAAACTTTCAAAAATTATATGATATACTTTAAACTTTAAATTTTGTTACAAAATGGGCCCAACGCCGTTATCTATCATTAACGAGGTGATGCGGTATGCTAAATAGGAACTATCTTATTTGACCCTTTAATTGTAACTAAAATTTTATTTTACTATTAATTTTAATTAAAATATTTTTTATTATTTTTTTTGAATTGAAAATAAAATGAATATAAATAAATTAAATATTATTTTTAGTATCATATTATAAATTTTGAATTTATACCATATAAATTACTTGATACATTATTAAAAGTTAAGGATTATATTGAGTATTTTTATTTAAGTTTGGATGTATTTTTCTTATTAATATGATACTATAATTTTCTAGATGTATTTTTTAAATTGTGTTTAAACTTCTTAAACGAAAGTCAAATGCTTGAATCACATCGATTAATGAAAGATAATTACATTGTTTGATTTGCAATTTTTTTGGGTCTTGAAAATTATAAATTTTTAATTACAAATCTCACAATTAATAAATAATTTGTTACAAGATAATTTGAAGAATGAAAAAATTTCTCAAAATTATTATTTTTAAATTTTAAAAATAATTTATATTCATATATATTTATATATATATATTTATTTATTTTAAAAATCTAAATTTTCTAATTTCTTTTTAGAATTATTATTTAAAAAAATTGAAAAATATCAAATGGAATTTCAGTTACAATGGAAGGGTCAAATAAGATATTTTCCATTAATTTAACATTGTACGACATCCTCGTCATTACCTATGTCCTACTTTTAAATACATTAAAATTTAATGTTTAATTTATAATTTTTAAAAATATAATGATAAATAAATCATTTTAACAAATTTAATGATTATTTATAGATTTCACGATATTGTTATATTAATAATAAATATCGATATATATATTATATATCTAGACTCAGCCTCAAATCTAATGTTGCATTTAAACCAAAATCCATACATTTTACAGCGTTGCAACGGTACATGAATGCCCCCACCGTTCTTATATATTATTATATTATGTAGCAGATTTATGTAATTATAGGTAAAATGATCAAATATTTATATACACTTATATATATATATATATATTGGTACATGTTAGCAAATAAGGTTGAGTGTGAATGAAGCTAGAGAGGTAACTGAGCTGGTATGAATTACGTGAGGTTGTTGAGCAATGTGTGTGTGTGAGAATGCATAGCCTATGTTATAAGGTGGTTATAGTGATGAGCTGTCATGAGTTAGTTAGATAACAAAGTTGTATAAAAAGGTTAAGCCCTCAATGAATTGTGTGGAATTAATTGACTATACTTGTTGTGTGTTTATTAATCAAGTTAGTAATCCATCATGGTATCATTCGCTATCTGTTCCTGAGGAGTTTTGCTTCGCTGCTTCAACCACTGGAGGAGATGGATTCGTTGATTGCTAAGACCTTCACTCACAAGAAGGTGAATGTCATTCTTGATGAATCGAATTTCTTACTCTGGAAGCAGCAAGTTCTGCTAACTGTTCGTAGCCATCGGCTCGAGCGGTTGCTGACTGGTTCGCTGCAACCTCTACCCGCCTTTGTAGCTGGTGCAAATGGTTAATCTGTGTCGAATGAGTTGTATGATGATTTTGTAGCACACGATAGTGCATTGGCATCGTGGCTTCTGTCAACAATCAGCTCGTATCTGCTCTCTCAATTTGTTGGAGCCGAGACTGCGGTGGCAGTTTGGAACAAGGTTTTGCAGTTTTTTGTAAACCGCTCTACCACGACCATCATCATTCTCTATTATAACCTGCAGACACTCAGGAAAGGAGATGACAGCATGATGACTTACTTGACTCGGATCAAGGAGGTTTGCGATGCGTTGGCGTTGTGTAACAGTGCCATCTCCACAGCAGAGCAAGTCGCGAGTATTTTGAAAGACTTATCGAGGGAGTATCAACCTTATGTTCCCTTCATTACCACAATGAAAGACTCATTGTCTCTTGATAAGGTATGTTCATTGTTGATTGATGCGGAGACTCAGATTGCTGGGTTTGACGCTCGAGATGATCAATTTCTTATGAGTGCTCATGTCACCAATATGAGTAATAACTCTAAATAGAGTAATACATCTTCTTACAATCGATCTGATTATCACAATGATTCTGGTTATGCTACTTGAGGACGAGGTCGTGGCAGGCCCAGAGTTCAGTGTAAATTATGCGGCAAGAATGATCATCTCGTGGTTGATTGTTGGCATCAGTTTGATCAAAAATTTTCAAGTAGGGGTTATGGTCGTGGTTTCTCTAGAGATAACATTGGCAGTGTTAATTACTCAAGTATGGAAGCTATACAAGTAGATGGTTATGCATGTTCTTGCTGTACAAAACGACATGCTGAAGCTCATGCTATAACTGCTCATCGTGATTCCTGGGTGGTTGACTCTGGAGCATCACACCATGTGATACCTGATGCGTCGACCATTGATCATAAGTCTGATTTTTTCTGGTTTAGGTAAATTATTGGTTGGTAATGGTGTACCTCTTTCGATTCATACTGCTGGTCAATCTGTTTTACGTTCTAATTCTTGAGCACTTTTGTTAAACGACTTATTACATGTGCCTAAAATTACAAAGAATTTATTATCGGTGTCTAAGCTTGCTAGGGACAACGGGGTTTACTTTGAGTTTCGAGCTACAAGTTGTTGCGTCCGAGATGAAAGGTCTGGTGAACTTCTATTGCCAGGTGAAGAACGAGGTGGTCTCTATTTCTTTTAAATGGATGTTGGTACTGCGAGTAGTAGTCAGGCAATAGTTTATTATGCACTTGCTTCAAATAAGTTGTATGAACTATGACATAGGCGTCTAGGGCATCCTGTACATGGGACCCTAGAATGAGTTTGAAAATCAATTCATGTAGTTGTTGATAAGAACTTGAATGAACAGTGTGTTGCTTGTCATATGGGTAAAAGCCATAGGCTTCCTTTTAATGATTCAGATATAGTCTATACTGCTCCATTTCAATTAATCTACACTGATCTATGGGGACCTTCGCTAGTGGTTTCCAATGGTTACAAATACTATATGAATTTTGTTGATGCATACACACGTCACACGTGGTTGTATTTGCTAAAAGATAAGTCACAGGCAGTTCATGCTTTCCAGTTATTTCAGCAACTTGTTTCTACACAATTTAATTCGAAAATACAAGTTGTGCAGAGTGATTGGGGAGGAGAGTTTCGCAGCTTGTCTCATGTTCTTCTAACATCTGGTATTTTGCATCGATTAACTTGCCCACACACATCTGAGCAAAATGGAGTTATAGAACGAAAACATAGGCATGTCATTGAACTTGCCCTCGTACTCCTTGCTCAAGCATCTATGCCTATTAAGTTTTGGGTTTATGCTGTAGTCCTGGTAGTTCATCTTATTAACAGACTGCCAACTAAAGTCTTGTAAGGAATGTCTCCATTTGAGGTGTTGTTTCATAAGAAACCTGACTATGACTGCTAAGAGTATTTGGTTGCAGATGCTTCCCGTATCTACGCCCTTATATTCGTCATAAATTGGAGTTTAGATCGCAGACATGCACATTTCTTGGAGTTAGTCCTCAACATAGAGGTTTTTTATGCCTCGGGGCAAATGACCGAGTTTATGTGTCTCGACATGTTAAATTTGATGAGTGGCAGTTTCCTTTTGCAGCTGAGAGCAGTACTGGTACTTGTGGACTTTCTGGTATGACTAGTCGCTCTCTCGATGTTGTAATGGACATTTGTAAAGTTGGTAATGTAACCTCTGAGACGTTTGGAGATCGACAGGCTCCTGCTTGTGATCATGAAGATTTTGTACTTGATTCTACTGGTTCATCTAGTGGTCTTTAGGTTCCGAATGAGTCACCATCTACTAATGAAGCTCATACTAATGCTCTATCTCAAGAAGAAATTGTTGTACCTAATGAATCTGCGCAAGGGTCTACTGCTAATCACCACCCCATGTTGACTCGTAGTAAATGTGGAGTTTACAAGCCAAAAGCATATTCCAGTACCGTTAGTGATAGTGTTCCGGCTA